ATCTCACAGAACTGGACAGTGCTATTCATCAGGCATGGTGTCAGATTCCTCGCATCACCTTTCAACATCTCGAGGAGTCAATGCCAAGAAGAATTGCCGCAGCATTGAAGGCAAAAAGTGGCCCAACGGAGTACTGATGGGGTGGTCGTAATAATCTGGCCACTCACGTTCAAATATATCCCACGTTCAAAGGCTGTTAAATTGCGTTCTTTACCCATATCTTCAGAAAAAAATCACTTCTGTCGTGGTAAACAACCTGCTTCCCTATTTATAATGGTCTGGCCCTCTAGCAACTTCAGTGCGAAATTATAGCTAATTTGCCTACAAACATCAGGTGGTCATAATAATCTGGCCACTCACTTGTCTATTTCTGTTAGGTATTGTCTTTAGGGTAAATTCTGCAAGTTCTGTTGCTGAATAAAGTGCTGTTAGCAATCTGCTGTTCCACCAACAGGCTGTCCTTGCCAGGACTCTGCTCTGGGGTGCTGTTGTCATTCTTTCTCACTTCCACCTGGTCTTTTACATGAGAATGCTTGTTGTTGTTGTTGTTTTGTTGTTGTTTAAAGGCAGTTGAGGTTGAGACCTTTGAATTTTCTTGACTGCTTTTTTTTTGTTGTTATTAATCCTCACCCAAGGATATTTTTTTCCATTGCTTTTTAGAGAGAGTAGAAGGGAGAAGGGGGAGGGGAGAGGGAGAGAGAGACAGACATCGATGTGAGAGAGACATCGATTGGTTGCCTCCCTCACCCCTCCGCCTCCAGAGCCAGGATTGAACCTGCAACCCAGGTATGTGCCCTTTACCAGGAATCGAACCCGTGATCCCTTGGTGCACTCTAATCACTGAGAAACACCGGCCAGGGTGCTCCTTGTTTTATTTTAACCGTGTCCTATTGGAGATGTTGCACTGCTTCTCAACCTTCCTCCAGTCTTTTTTGATCTGGGTGTGGCTTGTTCATTCCTGTGCCATTCTTCTTTTAGATTATTAACTAGATGGTGGGTGAAGATGCGGTTTTGGAGAGTGATAGTAATGTCATCAGCCAGTCTCACTTGGAACTGTGGCCTTGTTATAAGTGTGTACTCATGGCTTTGACTGATGCTAACTATCATCAGCCATTGTTGCAAATGCAGTAAATGCTGACAGGTTTAAATGCACAGTGCCTTCATACAAATCTGAGTGATGGAAGCAAGTCAGTCCTTAAATGGGCGACTTTGATGCCTGATTCTGTGTGGTGCTCTTAAACTGTGCCAGGAGACCTGAGTGTTTTGTGATGTTACATTTTCCCTGCACATTTCCCAATGTTTGAATATTCACTTTAGTCTACTGTGGCTTTTGGATTTTTTTTGTTTTTGTTTTTTGAGAACTTTAATAGGAAAAATACAAAGAGGTGAACATTTTAGTGTTGTGGCCAAACACTGAACAGAGATTCAAACATGACACCAGACATTCAGAAATCTGAATCAGCAAAAGCCAAATCAGTTTTAACAGTTGAGCCAAACTAAAGGCAAGCAGAGCATTTTCATTGTTAAAGAAGGAAATAGGCTTCCATGAGGCTCCCATACCCTGATACCTCTTTGAAGGGGCTTTTGAAAACACTCCCAACTCTAACCAGTGTTAGCAAAGTCCGATGAGACTGTTGGGCAGGGCAGCTCATGCTTTGTGGGCTTTCACATTTCATTTTCAGGACTAACTTTTAATTAAACATATGGATTTATCTTTCAATGTTTTAAGTTATTTCTGCTTACCATATATTTTGTTTTATTCTCTCATGTTTTCTATCAGGTGTATAAGGTAGAGATTTTTACATGCTAATACAATAGGTAATCTTCTACTGGTTAATAATAATAAGCAACCATATGCTGATCATATATACAGGGTGGAGCAAATGTAGGTTTACAGTTGTTCATGTAGAAGATAATACAATCCTATGTAATAAAGAGCTAACATGCAAATGGTCATCACGCCTTCACACCGTCACGCCATAACGGCTCAGACACTCAACACTGGGGAGAGAGGGATGGGGACCAGCCAGGTTGCGGCCCAGGAGAGGGACAAGCCGCCTACCCCACAGTCCCGGGCGCCAGTGGCTGCACCTGTGCCTGCAGCCTGGGAGAGGGACAAGCCACCCACCCTGCAGTCCCAGGTGCCTGTGGGTGCAGCCTGGGCGAAGCCGCCTGCCCACAGTCCCCTGCAGCTGTGGCCGGCCCGGGTCCTGGGTGCCTACAACCGGTCAGAGGAGGGAATCTTGGGTCCCAGGTGCGGGGCAAGGCAGAGGTGGTTAGAGGCGATAAGGCCAGCAGGGGAGCAGTTAGGGGCGATCAGGCCGGTAGGGGAACAGTTAGGGGTGATCAGGCCGGTAGGGGAGTAGTTAGGGGCGAGGCAGGCAGAAGAGGTGGTTAGGGGTGATCAGGCAGGCCGGCAGGCAGGCAGGCAGGTGAGCGGTTAGGAGCCAGCGGTCCCGGATTGTGAGAGGCAGTTGGACATCCCCCAAGAGATTCCAGATTGGAGAGTGCAGGCTGGGCTGAGGGACCTCACCCCCCACCCCACCCCGCACAAATTTTGTGCACCGGGCCTCTAGTCAATAATAATACAAGAATAAACTGCTTTGCGTACTCACAACTGTAAATCTGCTTTTGCCACACTCTCTATATTTTTTAAATGTTTTATTTTTTTAGTAAAAAACCTCTGGAACTTTGAGTATAACCTTTCAGAGAGAAATTATTTTCTTTTTATTATTATGATTACTCATTATTGTAAATCACATGATGCGAAAAATACATAAAAGCTGTGTGAAAAATACAGAAAGCACATGAATATGAAAAGCTGATAATTTGGGGAATTCCCAAGACTTCAGATTTCTCATTTCTGAATCCTGAGGATTAATATCTATTAGAAATCTGGAGACACTAGCTTGGAGTTGGCCTTCATGGGCTAGCCTGGGACCCAGCACTGTGTATCATGTTGCCCGTGGGCTTATGTTTTGAGAGTTGCCTGTGCTCTATCAGTTCATTTGAGTCTTTTCTGTTTATTTAGGCAATTACCTTATTATTTCCTTTCTGTTTGTTGATAAGTTAATGTTGAAATTCATCAAGGAAGTGCTTGGTTTTCTCTTAATTCCTCGGAGAGATGATGGCCTTGTTGCTCAGCATAGCTCTCTTTTCTCACAGGGCATTTTAGAAGCATCAAAGGCCAGAGCCATCCCTGTCGTCATTGATGCAGTGAGTGTGGCCTCTCCTCTCCTGTCCCCTCCTCATAGCCGGGTGCCCAAGGCCATGCAGTAAATGGGAGTCCTTGTTCTGTGCAGGACGGGCTGTGGCTGATAGCTCAGCAGCCGACCCTCATCCAAGGCTACCAGAAGGCCGTTCTCACTCCCAACCACGTGGAGTTCATCAGGCTCTCTGAAGCTGTGGTGAGTTTGTTGACCACTGGAAAGACAGAGTGCAAGCCCTCCTCATCCTGAGGAGGGGCAAGGGACACGCTCTGTGGTTCTGCACCCATTGGGCCCCTCAGGTGGGTCTGCAGGGACAGACTTGCAGATGTGGGGTGGATGCGTGCATATTCTACAATGCATTTCTCACGTGCTAACAGTGTGGGTTTTTCCTGGTGGTGGGTGTAATGATGGGACATCTTCCAATCAGTGCATCTTTGATTAGATGAAAGGCAGGGTGGTGTGCTCTGGGCAGTCAGTCGCCCCTCCTGCTTTGTACTCTGGGCAGATAACTCCATCCCTATCCTGTATTACCTCACCTGTGGAATGTGGATAATGAGAGCATCTGCCTCATACTATATGTGAGGATGAAATGAAATAATACATATAAATTCACGAGTCCTTACATATCAAGTGCTCCATAAATATTAGTGCATTATCATTCGAAGTTGAATCCCTTCTGCAGCCCTTTAAAATCCCAGCCAGGAGCAGTGTTCTTTACCTTTGATCTGACAAGATAGGGGACAGCCACCAGAGCAATATTTCTATCTCGAGCCTCTGTGCTGGCATCCACCGAGGCCTCTCCAGCTGGTGGATAGAACGTGTGTCTTTGTATGGAGGGCCGTCTTGTGCCGGGGGATTCCCTTAGATGTGAGTCTGAGGATCAGGATGATGTTCACTGTATCCACATTTGTGGGCTCCTGTCAAGTGTCTGATGACAGCTCTGCCTGTGGTGTCCTGCATTGTAGCTGAGAGACCCCGTGGATAGCAGTGATCGCCGTGGAGCTGTGCTGAGACTCAGCCAGGCCCTGGGGAATGTGACTGTGGTCCAGAAAGGGGAGCAGGACGTGATCTCCGATGGCGAACAGGGTGAGTGGCCTTGGGCTTCACCAGGTGTGGCCATGTGGGTACAGCCCTAGGAAAACCTCGTTCACACATGTTCGCACATCACATGTGGTCCCTCCTATCTTACGTGCTCACACATCATATGCATCACATGTTTCACAACCTGGGGAATGTGACTGTGGTCCAGAAAGGGGAGCAGGACGTGATCTCCGATGGCGAACAGGGTGAGTGGCCTTGGGCTTCACCAAGTGTGGCCATGTGGGTACAGCCCTAGGAAAACCTCGTTCACACATGTTCGCACATCACATGTGGTCCCTCCTATCTTACGTGCTCACACATCATATGCATCACATGTTCCACAGAGGGACTTCCTGATGAGCTTGTTAACCACAACTTCTTCAAAGTCCATTTTCATTTTTCACTATTTTGCAAAGGGAAGTCATACCAGGATCAGTGTTGATCCTAGTTGATACCAGGTGCAGCGGCTAAAGTTCTGTTAACGATTGATAAGCAGCAGCCCAGTGGGAAGGTGGCTGTAACAGCAGATGGTGCTCCAGAGTTCACACCCTGCCACCTCTGTCTTGCCTGCAACATACATGAAGTTACTTGAATATTTTACTGCATTTGTCCTATTTTATAAAAATGACAGGAAAGTGAAGAAACCCCAGGAGCTGACATTAGTGGAAATCTCCAGGTGATGAATGTGATGAATCTTCCGGTCACATTCTTTCCATAGGAGTTTGTGGACTGTTTAGTGAGAGCAAGATGGGCTGTCACACTTGCTCATATCTACACAATGATGTTCATAACCAGAGACTGTATAACATCTCTAGCTCCCTGAAAACATAAAAATCTGATCCACAGGCAAAAAATTCACCAGTTATTTTAACAGAATTTAATACAAAGAACAGTCGCCTAGGTATAGAGTTGCTGACTAGATCACAGAAAGCAGGGCCAACAGAGAACAGAAGGCATCCTTAGTCACCTATGTCTCACTTTGTCTCTCTCGCATGCTGGGCAGGAGATGGAGTGAGTGTTCTCTGAAGGATCCTGAAACCTTTGAGTTCTTTTATTGCTGGATGGTGCTCACACACATTCAGAACATATAATAACCTATTTCCAAGATATTTTCCAAAGAAATAGAAATTTCTCATTACCCAACAGAAATGAAGTCATGAGGATTAGCCCATTCAGGAGGCGCCAGCTTTGTGTTTATGTTATTGAAGGTGGATTCTCTGGAGTGTGAGGTGTCCTGTAGGACTGAGGGCCCACACGTGCTGTGCATGTTCTTCTCTGATCTCTATCAGCAGATCCCTCAGTGGTTGAATCATGTGTCCACTCACCACGATACTAACAGGTGGTTCTGGGGCAGCCAGACCCCTGCCTGCCTCAGTTTCCTCTCCTGTAAAATACAGGCTTTCTTGTTAAGAGCAATCAGGGTTAGGGTTAGGGTAGATGACCTGGAACACACAGTGAGCAGAGACAAGCCACTCGCTCTAACACCCATCTCACTTTTGCTCTGCAGTTCTCGAGTGCAACCTACAGGGCAGTAACCGCAGATGTGGTGGGCAAGGTGACCTCCTGTCGGGATTCCTGGGTGTTCTGGTGCAGTGGGCACTCCACGCCGGACCTGAGAAAACAAATGGGTATGCCACATCTTCATCTCTCCCACTTTGAAATTTCTGAACTATGTAAGCTATTTTAGTAACTCATACGTTTCATAAATAGCTACTTGGAATGTTCCAAATGAAATATTGGTGTTACTGTTACGTGGAAGATATTTCAAGGCAGGGGTTGATCCCCAAATTTTCACCTGGGGAGTTTTTACTTAAATCTGGGCCCTTTTCCGTCATTCGATACCAAAGGGGTCTGGGGCATCCCACCTGGGGAGTTTTTACTTAAATCTGGGCCCTTTTCCATCATTCGATACCAAAGGGGTCTGGGGCATCCCTAGCCTTTGAAGCTATCCTGATAATTCTAATGTGCAGCCAAGTTTGAGGACACTGTTCTAGAAGGTTGGTTGCATACCTACTATAAAACTAAATGAAAAATATGCAGGTGAAGGTAGAGCTTACCTTGATGCTGTCTTGAGAGACGAGTTTTCTTTAAGAGGCAGCAGAATTCTAGGATCTGGGCTTTGACCCACTTCTGCTCTTAGCTTATGAGTGAACTCTGGCAGTTCCTACCCCTCTGTGAGCCTCAGTTTCTCTTCTCTGCACCCTTCATGATGATAGATGGCCACACGTGCCAGGATGGGATGTCCTGGGTCTGGAGGGCCTGTCATGACACCTGGAAAAGCAGTGTCGGGCCTGTGAGGTCGCAGCACACCTGGCAGGCAGGGAGCAGTCCCCAAACGGGTCCATGTGTGCACATGGGAAGGAGCGACAGCGGAAGTCTAGCAATGTTAGGAAGAACCTGCATTCTCAGATTTGGAATATTCCCTACTTCTAAACGCTCATCAACAAGTCCTGGTCTGGTTTTCACCAGGGAAAATGCTTTGTTCTAACCTTCCTCCAGTTGGATAGGTATTTTTGATATGGCTTTTGTCAGGGAATATCAGTATCAGAGGATTAATGGTTATTTTAACTGTAGTTAAAATGCCTTATGCCTCAGTGGCATATCAGACGAGAAATTGCCAATTTGGGGTCTCAGAGTGGAAACAGGAAGGAAATCAGTGCCTTGGTGGCTTCAGGTCCCTGATGTCTGACAAAGCTGTGGAGGGAGGACTTCCACCTCCCACAGCGCCTTGCTAATGGCTCTGCCCTGCAGTTTCAGCCCCCTCCTCGTGGCTGCCTTTGGTGCGTGCTCCCTCACAAGGCAGTGCAACCACCAAGCCTTCCAGAAGCATGGCCGCTCCACCACTACCTCGGACATGATCGCAGAAATCAGACCTGCATTCAACAGACTCTTTGAAACCTGAGCCGATGCAAACGAGAAGAAAGTGAGCACCATGGTGGGAGAAATAGCATTTGTAATGGGAAAGGCCACATCCAGTATGTCTGAATCTTCTGGGTACCGGAGCAGCACAGGCTGCTTAGGAGGCTTGGAGTCTAGGCTACATGTAGAGAATGTAAGAATTGGGAATGAACAATTTTTGGCTAAATTAATACGCAATTTGAGACATTATGACACTAAACAAAGTACTCCCAGCAATAACACAAACATGGAGAATCATTTGAAAATGAGAAAGTCTTTAACCAATTCAGCTGAATTTGTAGGCATTTGTGCAAGAAGTTCCCCTTATTAGATAGTTCTCTCAAAGGGATCCAGCCATTCGTTTCCAAATAGCTTTGAGAATAATGAGATTTGCTTTTTTTAAATTGAGATCCACCAAAGGATGTGGCATTTACTTTAGCTAATTTTTATTTTTCAAACTGTGATTATGTTGAAAAGGTCTGGGCAGAAATACTAAGTACTGGCTGTTTGGGTTAATTGGTTAAAGTATTCAGAATAATCAGTAATCAGTTTGACCTTGGAAATTTTTTTGGAGGCACCATGGGAAAATCCAAGAAGGAAACTTAATGGGACACTGATACTTGAATGCCCTGGTGGGAGCTCTGGAATACCTTGTATCTTACACTTGCACTTTTTCATGCCTGTGCATACAAGTATGTGTGGTGGCTGGCGGGGCCCAGCAGAGTGTGCATGAGTGGGTGGGGTGCCATGTTCTTGATGTGGCCACTGGTGTGTTCTCTTGGGAGGACGGCTTCAGGATAATGGGGCCCTGGGGGGACTGAACAGAGCATAACAGTAGGCTTTCTGGGTTGAAAATGGGGGAAATGGGTGGGTATGTCCTCAGGAAGATTTAGATTCCATTAAAGAAGTTGATATATCTGAAATCGTTGTAAATGAGATGTTTTTTTGTCTTGTTAGCCTCTGGTTCACTTTTGTTTGGTTGTGTGGGTTGTTTTCTTAGTGGCCTGAGAGACTTGTTTGTGTCGCCATTTCTCCGTGGGGGTTTTGGTTCCTAACACATGCATTTGAGTGTTCTCTTACTGTTCAGTAATGCTGGTTCCTTTAAAAGTCTGTCTGCCCTGATGATTACACATGGGTGAAGCTCTGTGGTTCAGATATGTCACCCCAAACAGATCTTACTTTCTTTAAACCAGCCATGAACTTTTAATTATTAAAAGGGAGACCTGGTTTATTTCAATGTAGAGTTTTATTTATTTTTTTCTTAAGTAGCCAAAACCCATCTTTCAGCTTCCTAAGTTGAGGACATTGTTAGGTATTAGGGACATAAACATATATAAGCTTATCTATCCAATGTTTTTTTACCAGTGCTTTACCAATATTACTAAAGTAAATAATCTGAAGCATAAGCCTGAAATGTCACCATTTCTTTACATATAAATGAAATTTAGCAGTCATAGGAACTATTCCTGTGTATTTGTTACTTAAGTTTTTGCTCTAAGTACAAAATATCTGCTTAAAAGGGAGATAGGATATACCCAAGTAGCCAGGGACTGATACTTTTAAATGAAGTTAGTAATTGCTTCCTTGTTCTTCCATAAACCCGAGCATCCTCACAAGCCCAGCTTAGGACACTTATTGGCAGCTTCCCTGAGACCAGGAAAGCAGCACCGAACTGCTGGTGGGCAAGTTAGGCATCCGGCCAACAGGGGACAGTCTGCTTCCCCAGTACTGATTCGACCTGTTTGGATGTCTCTCTGTAAAGGGCCTGCCTGCCACCTGGGTCTGCACTCTATCATGCACTATGCACTACTTGAGTCACTTTTAGCGTGTCAGCTTCCAAACAGGTTTCCTTATCTATAGAAGAGAAATGCCTTTGAGGGTCATGAATGTCAATGACAAAGTAAACATGGCTGCAGAGCCACACCAAGCTATCCACAACTCTGCCTAGTGTGTGCTTACCTGCTGCCTGAGGCTGCACCCACCCAGGACCTGAAAGTTGGGGGAATTGGCAAGAGGATCACCCTCTTTCCTATGGTTAACCAAACAGCTATAGCTCCCCACCTGTGCAGAAAGGTGAGGGGACTGAGATCAGGCCAGTAAGCTCAGTCCCAGGTAGTCTGCCGTGTGCTTGAATTCCTGGCGTTGGCATCCTCTGTCACACCTCTATGTCCTGCTCGCACCCCTGCTGTCCCACTCCTCCAGAGTGACCGTCCCCCGGTTCATCACTGCCCAGCACTTGAGGTACAGGCTGTTTCCTCCTGCTTTGGAGCAGGCAGCATGGCCAAATCCCCACAAGATCCTCTTGGGATAAGGGCTGTCCTGGAAGCTGTTGCCCTGTTGGCCCCACTCACAGGTCCCACCTACCTTCCTATGGCATCTTCTGGGACCCCCATTTACAACTTACATTCCTGGGCTCTGGCTCAGGGACACAGGCTGGTTGGGTTATATCACAGATGATAATGTTGGCTGATTTAACTAAACTGCACTTGAGTCTGTGGCTGTTGGTACTATAAAGAAATCCATTTTTAAACATAGTTACTAACACACCATTGGAATGATATCAGTTTGACTTACTTTAATGTTGACTAAATAGTCACAATGGAAAACTTTAATGTAAAGCTTCTATAGGGACTTAAGCAAGCACAGAGCCGCATTGTGAGCCTGTGGTTCCCGCTTCACGCATCCTCAGCTCCCAGGTTTGTGGTCTTCTGACCTCTGACCCAGCAGTTCCCATGTGGATGTGCTGCTTCTGTCCTGGGGGTGGGGGAGGAAAAAGGTCCCGGCTGAGCAGGCTCAAGGAGTAAATGGGTGAGAGAGTCAGGGCTCAGAGTAACAGGAGGCACTGCCTGCTGTGTCCACAGGTCTGGGCCGCACTAGAGGAAACAGCTGGATGCTTAGAAACGGTCAGCTGCTGCCTTCCATTGTCAGGCTGGGGCAAGGCCACTTGGGGCAGGAAAGGATTGGGCAAGAGCACAGGTCTGCTCTGCTCTGTGAGCACCCGGGTGCTTGAGTACACGTCCCGGGGCCGCAGTCTCCCTCGTTTCTGACTCTGACCCTCTCCCAGGTCCCTCCACCTCAGTGTCCTCTTGGCTCTGGCCCCATCCCCTTCCTTTTCGTCACAGGATGGGTATCTGTGCTCACCAGCAGCATCAGCGCAGGGGATGTCTGAGCTTGGATCCTCCCCCATGTTTGCATGATGCCAGCATCCCCATTGTCACTGGGCCTCGGTGGCAGTGGCTCACCTTAATACTGATGCCGTGGGCGGCAAGGTCCTGGCGCAGGGTGTCACATGCCTCCAGCAGGGGCTGCCTCTCTAGGAGCTGCTGCCGCCGGGCTTCCTTGGTAGCCTCTCCCGTGGCCAGGGCGAACTGCCGGACCTTGAGCCGGAATCGAACCAACTCCTCCACCACGCTGTGCAGCGTGGCTGAGCCGCTGTCCCCTGAAACAAACTGCACCAGGCAGAGTAGTATAACCAGTGAGATTCTGCTAGCAGCCCAGACAGCTGTGCCTGGCTGATGGGACCAGTGAGTTCTGTGCTAAGCATCCAGCATGTACCCCCCTATACCCCCCAGGCACTGAGGGGAACTCTTGGCCGGCTGCTCTCACCGGTCTGGGAAGAGAGGCTGTGAGGTTCCGGGCTATTAGCAAGTCTCCACTTTCCTCTCCTGAATGTCTCTCTCACCCAGGCACAGTCCCTAATGCCACTCAGTGCACCCACCACAGGCCTCAGAGTAATCTCAGGGCCAGGCCTACAGCAGGCTTTCCTGCTTCCAATCCTGGACTCACACTAACAAGCTGGGAGTAGATGCTCCACAGATGTGCCAGCATCTAAAGATGTTTCGTTTATCATCTATTCACTAGGCAGAGTCTAGAAGTCTAAGCCTTATTGACCAGTGAAACCCAATCTATTCACTCTAACCAAGTATTTGAAACAATGTAGACACGTGTCTGGGGAGCTGATACGTGGAGGGAAGCATTTACAACACACGTGACTCACACACACAGTTTTCACTGGACAGTTGTAGACCAAGTCTCGGAGCACAGCTGGAGACATTTCAACAAGTCAAATGGGATTTACACCACTTCAAGTTGCCAGAAGTCCTCCCCCTTCTACACAATTCCTTCCTCCATAATGGAGAAGGGATCCGAGTGGCCGTTGTGTTCACATGTGTAAAAGAAGAAACAGAACCCACAACCTTTTACTTTTGGGTCAAACTTCTTAAACCTCATAGGTCCTTAATTATTGCTTTGCACCAAGCCAGCAATAGGCCATTTCTCCGAGGAGTCTGGTAAAGATAATTCTTGTTATAAAACCATGACCCCCCCGCCCCTTATCCCCAGAAAAACAGTCCAAAGTGGGCTCCAGTGTCAGCCCTTGAGGTGGGGAGGTGAAGGAGCTATTTCTGACAAGGGCCAGGCACACAACTTGGCCAAGTCTGCCTTTTCCTATTCAGTAACTGATTCTGGGGCATCTCATGTGAAAATTAATACAGACCTTGCAAAAACTTGGTCACCACAGACCAGTCACTTTTGTCTGAATTGGCTGATGGTCCCTGGACTGCTCAGGAAAGGACATTAAGTCTACCAAGTAACTGACATCTATTACTAAAGCAAGCCTGGGGATTATTACAAAGACACTGCAACTTGTGTTAAGGTCAGAAATTCACTGTACTTAAAGTTTGTGAGAGATGTGCCCCAGCTCACGGGATGACCCCAGATCACAGCAGGTGGGCAGCTAGGAGCCAGGCTTCCATGACTCCCAACTCCAGCCGAGCCCCCCAAGTGGTGGGCTCCCCCTAGTGCCAGGCAGCTGAGCTAACAGGGCAGCCCCACCCCTTCAAAGCAGTGAGCAGCTGTCCCATGCCCCAGCCCAACGGCAGCAGCAGAACCTGGCGGAGCTGTAAAGGAACCTGGGAGGAGGGTGATTCCAGTGCCGGTGATGGTCACTCCCACCTGCAGTCCGACCATCCCCCGTTAACAACCTGTTCACATGCAGTGTTGTCTAAAATGGCTCTTTTAGCCTTTAACTTTCCCCATCCTCAACAGTCCTAAAGCCATTATGTGAAGCAGAGCAAGATGGGCTCTGTGGAGAGGTGGAGGGCCACAGAGCCCTGTGGAATGTCCATGCAGAGGGCAGCCTGCTGAGGGGACAGCCTTGGGTGCAAAGGGTGTCCAGGCAGGGATGGGAGTCAGCTCCAGTGAGTGAGGGGGGCGTCCCACAGTGGGAGGCTGACTGTACTGGGAGAAGAATACCTAAGGAAATACGGGTCCAGGCAGGGATGGGAGTCAGCTCCAGTGAGTGAGGCGGGCGTCCCACAGTGGGAGGCTGACTCTGTACTGGGATACGTTTAGGGTACTGGAAAGCAGGCTTCTCACTGTCACTTGTATGGAAAGGGAGGAAAGCAGAATGAACCCTTTGCTGAGAACCAGAATTGAAGTGTTGATGGTAACCCCTGGATTTTAGTCAAGGTAGAGCGAGAGAGAAATGAACTTGGATATCGTGCGCACAGTATGCCCACACTCATCTCCCTCTCTGCCCACCAAGGGCCCGGAGCAGCTGAGGCCCAAGCACAATGAGCACGCCTGGCACTTAGGTCCACCTTCTGACCACCTTTCTCTAAGAGCAACCAGGCCCCTCGGAGACATGGCCGATGCCTGGCTTGATGCAGAGAAAGTACCAGACAAGGCCAACAGCTGAAAGCACCCCGAGTCCTGAATAGACTCTGCCCCCAAAGGGCTCATGGGGAGAATGGGGAGCCCAAGGGGCTGGGGCTGGACAGCTCCTGTTTGTAGGAGACACACTGAGGGAGCTTGGCTGGCAGCTTACTCTCAGGTGGCTCAGGAAAAATGTTCTTACGGTACAGCTGTCTGTACATTTTGAGATTCTTTCTAAACAAAAAACATAATAAAAATAAATAAATAAATACGAGTGTGTACAGAACTGATGACACTCCACTATAGCTAAAATGTGCTGTTGCTTCTCAGAACTGTTGCAGTTTCAGTAAGATATTAGCTCTGAGTGTTGACTTTTTAAGGAATGTAATGTACTTTTGAGCACATAAATTGGCATTTACAAGTATCCATTAAAGGGGAAAAATGGTTCTTATTGGATTGGCTTGTAAATATCCCACCACTGAGGACTGAAAAGAGAAGGGTGTACCTGTCGTTCTGCCAGAGAAATTCCAACCGTCTCAAAAAATTGCTCAACGTAGGAGATGATGGAGCCGAACACAGCAGGGCTCCTGGGACCGCCAGGCTCCTGTGACAGATGACCCAGAGAAGGCTCTTTAAAGGCAACGGTGTAACAGGTCACTTCTGCCTGCTGTGCCTCCATGCGGACAAGCTGGCAGGGGGCCCTGGACTAACTGCTGGAGCTGCCACTCTGCAAGCCAGACGACCCGGGTCAGTAACTTAATCCTGCACCTGAGCCCGCCCACCTAGAATATGGGGATGTTATGGTCTGAAGGCTTGTGTCCCCCCAAATGCATACATGGAAACCTAGCCCCCAGCATGATGGTGGTCTCAGGAGATTGGTCTTCGGGAGGTCACTGGGTCATGAGGGTAGAGCCTCAGGAGTGGGGTGACACCAAGGCCCAGAAAAGGGACAGTTTGGGTGGGCACAGAGTGAGTCAAGGTCCCAACATAGGGCGTCCTCCCTCATTTCACGTTTTAGCAGTGAACTCGGCTTCTCCGAGCGAACAGGAGGGCTGCGTGCTCCTGCATTAGCCAGCACGCAATGCGGCTCTCAGTGTGCTGGGACCTCCGTGCCCACGTAAGCAGCACCTACTGCTTGGGGCTCTGGGAGGCGGTGCCTCCTGCAGGGCCAGCAGGGCAGGCCCCATTCGGCTGAAGCAGCTTCAGGAACTTAGGGAAGGTCAGGAGAGGCCTGGAAGCCACCGGCTGTGGGAGATGGTTACCCGAGAGAGTTGGGAAGTGGCATCTGTTCTTTATGAGGGAAAACCAAACAAACAGAAACCCTACTTTGTGGTCATTGGAGTTACCTTAGTGACCACCTTCAGCTGTCTGTTCGCCTGGTGAATGAGATCCAAGACGGCATCCACCGCCCCAGGCGTGTCAAAGTCGTCCGCCAAGGCGGCCTTCACAGCAGCCTGTGTGTGGTTGAGCCTTAGATGAGAAACACGTGTCACTCACCGCCGACAGCAGGTGGCCTCTCTCCAGCGGAGCAGGCTTGTGTCCCACTCCCACCCCAGCAGCCCTCTCTTCTTTCCTCCCATCAGCCCCTCCAGCGCAGTCTCCATGGTGGTCATCCTCCGCCTTTCCTCCCCAGCCCACAAGGACACTCAGGCCCCCTGGGCGTCCTCTCTCATCTGTGTGGTCTCACCTTCACACCCACTACCTGTCACAGGCTTTACCTCATCTAACTCGCTGCTGCCCCTCTTTACTGGAGGTAAAGGCCCCACTTGCTTTGGATCCGCCCCCTCTCCGGGCCTGGGGCAGGACTAGGTCTGGGCCACCCTGCAGCTGGGCAGGCCCTGGGACCAGTTCTGGCCATTGTGAGAAGCAGCGTCCACATCTGGGCCAGAGCATTGAATTGTGGAGGCAAAGCCCTGGAGCACCCTCTTCCCTCCGGCCTGGCACCTGCCCTCACCCTCGTAGTGACAAGGGCCTCTGTTCAGTTCACACTAATAAACACCAGCGGGAAAACCCATCCTGGCACGTTATTTACAACCTTCACAGCCACCCACAGGCGGACACAGACCTGCCCGAGACCACAGAGCCTGAGGGACCTTTCCACCAGCACTCAAGTAGCCTTAGTCTCCAAAAGCCTCGCTTCCCTCCAGGCAGCCCCACGATGGCGCCCTGGGCCCTCTGGGCAGATCTGGGAGAGCACCCACCTCTCCCACAGCACGTCTTCCCTGATGGGGCCGCACACCAGCTGCCCCTTCATGTAGGCCCGAGCATCCTGGGCGAATGCGGCCACGGCCCGGAGGAGGTGCTGAGCTTCCTGCATGGTGCTGTCGCTGTAGTCCACAGCTGAGGAAGGGGGAAGGATTAGCTGGGGGTGCCCGTCGAGCGTGCCCACACCTGCAGACTCAGTTTCTTAGCCAGGCCGTCCTCATGCTACTCCAGAAACCCAGCAGTGGAGCGGGGACAGCTGCCCCCTATCCTGCACCTCCCTGAGGCCTGAACTTTGGGCTCAGTATTTCGGGAGAGGGAGAGGATTAGACCTCGAACTCAGCGTGGTAGAGTACATGAAGACAGATTTAAGAACTCCCACCTGGGCCAGCCCACCTGAGCCACTGGGCACCACGTCCAGGCCCCCACAAAAGGCACAGCCAGAGGGATAGACGTGTCAGCTGCTCCCCAAGTGGTGGGGGCCAGTGTCCTGGGTATCGTGCCTCAGTACCACAGATCTGGGGGCAAAAACAGCAATTTCTTCTCTTGCAGCTCTGGGGGTAAAAACAACTGAAATCAAGGGGTCAGCCGGGCCTACCCTTTCCAAAGGTTCTAGGGGAGGGTCCTGCCTTATCTCTTGCAGCTTCTGGTGGCCCAGACGTTCTTGGATTGTGGCTGCATCACCCCAATCTCTGCTTCCCTGGTCACATGGTTGTGCCCAGTGCACAGGCTGAGGAGCCCACCTACCCCCAAAGGGCACCTGCTCCTGCAGGGCCATAGACACCGGCGCCATCTTACTGTCACAGTGGTCAAGTCAGGCAGGGCAGTGCCGGGTGTCCCCAGACCTGGCCTTCCAGGGAGAAGAGACCTCTGGCCCCAGGGACATAGTGCTAGGCATCCCCATCCCCCTCACCTCACCTCCACCCCCGAGCAGCACACAGCGCAGCACAGCAGGGCCTGCCTGCCCTGAGTGGGACGCATTTGAGGGCTCCTGGTTCCGTCCCTGTGTGAGCACGGCCGATCCAATTGTTGTGTTCATGGAGCAGGAAGTGGAGGGCACTCCGGGGCCCAGACCCCACAGAGGGGGAGAGGAGGGGAGTGGACGGGGAGGGCTGACTGGAAACCCATGGCCTCCGTAAGCTTCTGGAACCTTCTGGCCAAGTGCTGGTATTATGCAATAGTGCATCCTTGGGCTTACTTTCTGAGCCCAAGCCTTAGGGGATGAACAACCACACTAACAAGACGGTGCTTATTACTCAGCCAGTACTTTGGTATTCCCCACACTGTCAGAGTAGTCTCTCCCAGCTGCACACAGCAGACGCTGTGACCATCCCCCAAAGGCCCTGTCGGCTCACCTGACCGGTAGCTGCTCCGCAGGCAGAAGAGCCGGAAGACGTCGGGGGAAAATGTCTTCAGAAAGTCCTGAGAGAGAGAGATGCGGGAGAGATGTACAGTGCTTGTCTTTCCCATTTGCATCACTTGGAGGTGAGTTCTCACACGTCAAGCAATCAGGAATGTTATGAAAAGCTTTGTTTTGCCTTCAAACTCTTAGCACTTTCCCTGCAATTTCCCTGCTGACTGTCCACATTCAGTCCCAGCGTCTGTGGGAAAGGCCGAGAGGAGAGGCCTGTCTGCCTGGAGTCCCGCTCCACCAGGCGCATCGGGAGTCCGCTCTGCTGATGGCCCGGGAGCCTTCACCACGGCACCGTTTTCTCACCCTCGTCATGAGAGGACGGCCACCACCAGAGGCCACCCAGCAGCCTGGGAACCACAGAGAATCTGTGCTCAGGAAGGGACACAGGGAGGAGGAGGCACGCACAGCTCCTGGCTGAGTGAGAGGGACAGGCTCCCAGGAGCAGGAAGGAGACAGTCCAGAAAGCTTGGCTGTGGTAACGTCAGAACAAGCAACATCCATGCCCAGGTCATTCTCTCCGGTGACACTGAACTTGAAGCAGGTATGTTTCTCAAAGAATAAACCATCCTGCCTCTGATAAAAGTAAACGTAAAATAGCTCTGGCCAGTTTTGCTCCAAGGCTAGAGCATCGGCCTGCAGACCAAAGGGCGCCGGTTTCGATTCTGGTCAAGGGCACATACCTCGGTTGCAGGCTCCTCCCCGGCCCGGGGTCTGGTCAGGGTGCATGTAGGAGGCAACCAATCAATGTTTCTTTCACATCGATGTTTTTCTTTCTCTCTGTCTTTCCCTCTCTCTTCCACTCTCTCTAAAAATCAATGGAAAAATATCCTTGGGTGAGGATTAAAAGAAAAAAAGTAAACATAAAATAAAAGCCCAATTGGTATCATCCTCTCGGTTATTTCCACAATGTCTGCATAAAGAAGTGAAAATTTCCATATCAGAAAGGATAACATGGGGAAACGTATCAGAAATCATTAAGACAGCACCATGTTCAACAAAGCCTCTCTCTCTGGTGGTCAGTGGAAAGTTCTGCATGATTTTAAAGGGATAAGACATGGGGTGAGGGAGGAAGGCGGGGAACCGAACCTCACGACGGGTTCCAGTGTGGCCCCAGGAAAGACACTAGGGCTCTGCTTGGCCCGACCAGGCCACCCACAGTGACCGTGCCACCGACTGACCAATGCTGAGCACCGAGGGAAACGGGCTCCGAGAGGAGTGTTTGAATCCTCAGAGAGTTAAAGGAGACGTTCTCAGCCCTTCTGCACACCTGTCCACCCCTTTCTGTCCAATGGTATCTCTGGCCTTCCCTCGGCAACAGCAACCAGCATGCAACAGCTGGGAGGAAACACCTGGCCTGGACCCCTCACCAGGCTCATGGGGGAGGGGGAGGGGGGCTTTACGGGGGGCTTAAGGACGCTGTTTAGAAAGTAGCCCAGGCTGGAGCATCTGCTCTGGCTACGTGCTGGCTTTGGTGCAGGGACTTACACTAAGGGGACACCTGGGCACATGAGTAGGTTAGACAAGGTCTCACCTGCTAGAAACACTGTCAAGAATAAAAAAAAAAAAAGATTTAGCTCAATAGTTGCATACACAAAAATTATCATTCTCAAAAAAACCCTAAAACTTGATCTACCATATAATCTAGCAATTCCGCTTCTGGGTATAAATCCAAAGGAAACAAAAGCAGTATCTCAGAGATATTTGCACTCCAGCAGCAATAAACACACTAGGTGCTCAGATCTCGGTTCAAAGTTCCATTTCCCCACAAAGGCAGCGAGGCACCTCGGAGAAATGGCCGGTCTGGGAGGATGCAAAGGTGAACAGGGCCGAAAGCAAGGATGCAGGCGAGACATGAGCCCAGGACACAGGAGCCCTCCCTGTCCAAATGTGGGATAATTTCAGCACCAAAAGGATAAAGACTGAGTTGATAATACACAAAGTAAATCCTTAGGGCTGTAGTGACACTGAAAAGAAACAGAGAAAGACAGACAAAAACCCTTTCTTTAAAGGGGAATGCTAACTAGTAAATGTAAAGAAGCAACAGAATGAGACCAGCACAACTGCAAGAATCAATGAAAGGAGCACCAAGGTGGAGCGCACCAAGGATGCCAAACCTGCAGGGCAGAAGGCTGTTGGGAACAAGATACTGACATGATGTTATCTCGCAGGTTCTCGATATTCACAAAAAGGAAACAAACATCTCTACAGCAGACATTGTGGCCATCCCCTAGCCAAGCAGTCAAATTTATCATCACTGGGTCCCACAGTCTGACGCTGTGGCCCCAGAGGAAGTCCACAGCACCACTGATGGAGTGTTTCCGCCAAGCAGGTTTGACCTAAATGGAATCAGCCTTGAGGTCTCACTTCCAGTTACAGGAAATACAGGAGCTAGAAGAACAAGTTAAATGACACCACAAAGCAACAGGCAAATTCCAGATGTGGGGTGTTCAGAAAAAATAGCCTGGTTTCTTCAAAAAGTCAATGCCAGAGGGAAAATAAAAGTAGAGAGACCGTTGTAGAGTAGAAGCCTAAACAGAACAGCCTTAAAAAATAAGCAAATCCTGTCATACTCTACAACACAGATGAACCTTGAGGACATTATGCTAAGTGAAATCAGCCAGTCACAAATGACAAACACTGTATGATCCCACTTATATGAGGTGCCCAGAGCGGTCAGTCATGGAAACGGAAAGTAGAATGGTGGGGGCAGGGGAGGGGAAAGGGGGGCATGTTCACTGGGTGCAGAATTTCAGTTTCGCAAGATGGAAAAGTTCTGGAGATCTGTCACACAGCCATGTGAGCATAATACACTACTGAACTGTACACATAAACACGGTTAACGTGTAGATTTTACATAAAGTGTTTTTTACCACTATTAAAAACAATTTTTTTAAAAGCCTATGATACAACATTCAAATGCAGTGCATAAACCTTGATTGGATCCTGGTTGAAAAATAAAGCTGTAAAAGACACTGGGATAAATGCAGAAATCAAAATACGGGTTAGATAATTGGTATTGTTAAGAAATTATTGCTTAGGAAGGAGGGGGATGGGTGGAGGTGGAAGAGGGTATGGGGGGATAAATGGTGATATAAAAAAAACAGAAAAGAAATTGCTAACTTTTTAGGTGTTTAGGTTACGTAGGAAAGCATCCTTATTTTTAAGAGTTGCATGCAGAAAAGAATTCTCATGATGTCTACATGTATTTTCTAATGGTTCAGGACAATAACACACACACAAATACTAAACTCTTAAGTCTACATGGTGAGTACATAAGTATTTCTTTTAACTTTTCTGTATGTTTGAAAGTTTATATAAGATAATATTAGACATTTCTATTTATGTAAAATACATAAAGACTATTTTTGAGGAGCACACCCCTTTTGGTTTATTATAAATCTGGTGGGAATAGCTTCAGTGGTTGGTATTTAGGTGATGAAGGGCTGTTTACTATCCTTGTCAACTAAATTGGGCATTATAGACCCCAAGACAAGGGAGGATCAAGCTGTGTTTAAGTATTCTATTAGTGCCCTCGATTGCCATTCATACGGAAAATTCACACTTCAGTCTGCATTTCTACAACACAATGAAAATTTCCAGGAAGGGTAAGAAGCCAGCAAAAAGCCAAAATCAGTCAATCAAACAAACAAACCCAAAACTACACTAGATAGGAGGGGGCTGGTGATGGAACAGAGGGACAAAAACGGGGGAAGGAATCCAGCAAATGTAATTCAAAAGATAAAATCATTAAAAACAAAAAGGGGAGGAAGAAGTCCACCACTAAAGCCAACAGAGCCCTGACTGGTGTGGCTCGGTTGGGCGTCCACCCGTGCACTGAAGGGTTGCTGGTATGATTCCTGGTTAGGGCACATGCCCAGGTTGCAGGCTCAATCCCCAGTACAGGGCGTGCAAGAGGCTGCTGATTAATGTTTCCCTCTCTCCCTCTCCCTTTCTCCCTAAATATCAATAAAAGAAATCTTTTTTAAAAAGCCAACAGAAAACAGTGGAGAGCCACACAAGAAGAGAGAACAGGAAATAGAGAAATACCACTGTGCACTTTTCAGAAAAAAACAAAAAAAAAAAGAGTATTTAACCCCAGCTTATTTGGCTCAGTGGATAGAGCGTCAGACTGTGGAATGAAGGGTCCCAGGTTCGATTCTGGTCAGGGCCACATGCCCAGGTTGCGGGCTTGGTCCCCAGTTGGGGGCGTGCAGGAGGCAGCCAGTCAGTGATTCTCATCACTGATGTTTCTATCTCTCTCTCTCCCTCTCTGAAATCAATAAAAAGAAAATGAAAAAAAGAGTATTTAGACCCGGAAGTAGGAGTAGCCCCTTAGGGCCATGGGGAAAGGGGAGCCAGGGAAACTGGGAATCAGAGCTGTGGGGTCACATATACAAGGTTCCTGGAGGGTTGACGGTGGGCGATTTCGGGAAAACTTCTATCCACATGTACATGGGTGTTTGCATACTGGAGAGAGCAGCACTTTTCAGAAAAAAAAAAAAAAGAGTATTTAGTCCCAGCTGGTTTAACAAGGTTCAGCAAGCTGGCAGCAACACAGAAAAGCACATTACCTTAATAGTGATGTAGTTTTTCAGTGATTTGGACATTTTTTCTTCTTTGCCTTTTACATGCAAATGTCCTGAGGAGAAAAAACACACACAGTCATTCACTCTGCATTGGGGGGAAGAGAAGGACTGCTCCGTCCCATCTGTACAGGGGAAGGAGGTAAAGTGGGTGCTTCTCCAGCAGGTGCCTGAGCACAGGGCTCCGACTGCAGCTGCCCAGGTAACTGAAAGGAAACCGTAAGTGCTGCCCTCTCCAATATGCAAACACCCATGTACATGTGGATAGAAGATTTCCCCAAATCACCCACCGTCAACCCTCCAGGAAGATGGATCCCACAGCTGTGCCAGTTCAAGGGCGTCGGGTACACCCAGCCCACAGTGGGCAATGGACAGGAACCACTGCTGAGTCAGAACTCAGACAGGAACAGATGGACTGTGACACTCAGAAACAGTGCACACTCTACCCCTTTCCTGTAACTTAGAAACGACGCTTTAACCGACTCAACACCTGAAGAAATGACAAATCTCTGGTTTTGCAAACCAGGCACCCACCCGGCAATAAAAGCTGCTTACAGATGTTCAGAATTGCAGAGTGGGGCTTGCAGGTCTCTGAGAGCAATTAGATTTTCTGTTGCAACTGAATTTCACAGACTTATCAAGACCTTGGTATTACTTCACCCCCAGTATGTAAAGGGCCAGATTCATTCTCCTGTGTGTCAGGAGGCACTGCTGTTTCTTTCTCCAGGACAGGTGTGAATGTGATGGAGAAGCGTAGAGTGCCTTAACAGATGGTAAAAGTCACAACAAAACACAGCAACAAAACCCCTTTCTTTCCCATTCCCACACTTACTAGTAAAGGTAAACAAGACCTGCTGTTTTATGGCCACCAAACACCTGTCATTAGCTGAGAGCATGAAGAAGTGTTAGTACTGACTCCTAGACCCACGGTTCACTGAAGGGCACCTGCACTTCATAGTGTCCAGAGCAAACCGTCACTCCTCATGAGCATTAACTGACGCAGTGTCTGTGGAGGGATCATGCTCTGACTTCTCAGACAGTTAACACAGTGGAAGGGAAACATGGAACCAGGATCATCAGGCTTTTGCCCTTCTATTTAGGGAATCTGCCCAGCAAGGCCCTTCGCTGGCAGAAATAAAGTAGATTTGGCTACTGTTGAGTTCTATGCAGGGGCACAAAGTGGGATACTAGAGGGCAAACAGCCCATATGCTGTCCACAGCTGTTCGGCCAGTTCTGTTTCTTTTCGGACAACTGTGAGGCAGTCAGAAACGAGCTGGTCACTGCAGAGAATAGAGATGCTGGTTCCCGGGCACCTGGGGGACACAGCGAGGTGGGAGTGCCACCCAGGACAGCTCAAGAATAAAGGAGACACTGCGGTACGTGCAGCCTCATCAGTTCGCTGCCATGAAGAAAACCCAAGTGAACCCTTACTCCAGACTTTAAGCAGCCGACGGCACATTGTAAAATGAGCATCTCTATATATTTCACTGGAATAACCTAGCTTCCTTAATTCAAGGACTTAAAGAAATGGTATTTGTTAATGCACTGTGTTTCAGATGCTGATTATCTGCAGCTCCCAACCCTATCACTGCCAAATACCAAATACCTAAGCTGTCATTCCAAAAAGCAATGGACCAATTTGACATTGCCCCACGACCTTTGTCAAAATTTGGACATAGGAATCTTCCCAGGCATCAAAGGGAATTCCAACGCATGTGTCACAATCTGCTCCTGAGAACAGATGGCTGGTGTTAGCCAACTGTGGTTTTTGAACAGTGAAATGAGAGGCAGTGGTATTAGAGGATGGTGACAATATTATAGCTCAAAGTTGGCATATTCCTAATAATGATTACATCATACTACTTAAAACCCTCAATAGTTTTATTAGAAGGAAACTTATATAGAACAGCACTGTAAAGCCTTTTCCATATTCTTGTCATTCATATTTCAGTTCCCAAAAGGCAGACTCATTCCCATTCAAGGAAGTTCATGTCCAACTGACTGAAATTCAAAAACAATTTAGGAGACAGCTCCACTTCTTGACCTATTTTCGCTGATCTATGTATTTCCAAATGTAACTGTTTTGTCAATAAAAGATAAAACGGCAGGACTGAAATAGAACAATTCCTCTGAGGTCATTACTTACCAGAATGCAGGAAGTAATTTCCCCATTGCTGGCACTGATGGAAGACCTCACACTGTGCGATTTCATTCTCATGATGCGGGAAAGCTAGGTCTATGCCACCCGAGTGGATGTCCAGTTGACTTCCAAACACCAAACTGCAAGACACAGCACAGAGCCGTGAATTAATTCAATCAAACAGCGTATTTCTCCAACCCTCATCTTATATCTAACCCTTCCAGCCTTTGTGCAAGGAATAAAATAAATGGATCTCAATTTTAAATCAATGCGTGTGAAAGCTTAACTGATGCAAATGGAAACCATAATTTTGTTTTTACTTCATAAAATCCCTCATCCATAGCTTTTCCTCCTACTAAAGACAATTCATAAAAATCCCTAATAGCTTTTCCTCCTAGTGAAAAAATTTAATTCTCTTTGCTCCAGAGGTATGGTTTTTTTAAAAAACTTACAAAATTACCTTTTCTTACTTTCAATAGGTAAAATTTAGTGGTTTTCCACCTTTAACAAGAGATAGGACTATAAAATAAAGAGAATTTTTAATTTGGCTTTTGAAAATTTAACTACTTACCTGTTATATTTGACAAACAAGGTTATAGAATTCAAATCAGTGCACGTCAGCTATTGGCACTTCCACTCTAATGCTGTGCTATACATCCTGGAAAACCTCATGTCCTACAAACTGCACACCAAAGCTGTGCGGCTGATGGGACAGTGCGGCAGCTGGCCCGACCACTCGGCCTGGAAACTCTCACCAGACCACCTGCGAAACCTGTACCAGTGTGAACAATCCAGGTTCACTAGCGCTGCTTCAGAAGACATTGAAAGTGCAAAAATCGATGAAAAACTCAACAGTCAGCACAGTGGAAATGCTGGTTTGTGGGGGCTGGGGTGGTGAGACCAACTGCCCCAGCACACAGCGAGGCTGGAATGCAGACCATCGTGAATTTTCCTAAAAATGGTTCAAAATAGACATTTTCAAAGATGCCACAGCCTCGCTGAGTCCATTCCTGCTGAAGGTTGACCTTCTCCCACTGGCTCCTGGGCTCCAGAAGAACCCGCAATGTACCGTCGCATTTAGCTAAGTGGTGCTGGCTGAGTGGGTTGTCTGTTACTGTACATTCTCAGTGATGGATTTTAGAGAATCTATTACAGTCCTTGAAATTCAAATGCTCTGAAGAAGAGTGTGAGGTGGGAGGGCGCAGATTGGGTAGGAGAGCATAAGGGGCCTCATTTGTAATGAGTGATTCAGTTTAAGATCTGAAGCAAATATGACGATGTTAAGATTTAATAAAGCTAAACTGTGGATCTGAGGTATTCATTATATTAGTCTCTATTCATGTCTGTACATTAGACCTATTTTAAAATAAGAGACAGCTAAAAAGGAATACAATGTCTATTTTCATTATTTAGATTTCAACAAAATGAAATATTTAATGGTAACATTAGATTTGAAATTTATTAAATGCTTTCTACCAGCTTTACAGTAACTAATTGAATCTAAAACTAAATACTTTTTTACAATCCAATGTATACTCCACATTGCTATTAAACCAACAAGTATTTATAAATACATAAGTAGTTCTGTATTAATGTATGACTGTGAGATGGACATAATTGTTTTTGATGAAAAGTTGGGCCCATGCTTCATAGTAACATGAGAGTTTGACGTTTCAGGAATGCCTGGATGTGTTTCTAGATGGGCCATGTTGAAGTCATCAAAGGTCAGGGCTGCGGGGGGATGTGGTGGAAAGGGAGACTGCCTGCTAAGTCTTAACTAGAATGAACAAAATGTGGATGGACGGGTTTTGGAGGACAAGGCTTTTCCATTTGGGAGGTGGGGTAAACCTACGTGGGGCTCAAAAGGAAACTAGGGTCTGTGGACTGAGAGAGCGGGGCACAGTACATGGGGCACAGTACATGGGGCACAGTGCATGGGGCACAGTGCTCTATTACAGGAGACTAGAGGCCCAGTGCACAGATTCGTGCACTGGTGGGGGGTCCCTCAGCCTGGCCTGCGGGGATCAGGCCGAAACCAGTTCTCTGACATCCCCCAAGGGGTTCCAGATTGCAAGAGGGTGGTTCTCAGGTGACACACCCCAGAATCGAGCTCCCTCCTCTCTGGTTCCGGGTGTGTCACCAGAGAACCGCAGCTGCCAAGTCACCGCAGCTCGGCAGCTCCTGCGTTGAGTGTCCGCCCCCAGTGGTCAGTGCGCATCATAGCTACGGGTCAAGCAGTCAAACGGTTGGATGGTCACTTAGGCTTTTATATATATAGATAAGAGTAGAGGCCCGGTGCACAAAAATATGTGCACTGGAGGGGGGTCCCTCAGCCCGGCCTGTGCCCTCTTGCAGTCTGGGACCCCTTGGGGGATGACCACCTGCT